AAGAAAGATGGATGTGAGAGATTGTTGAATTGTGATTGGTAAGTTTCTAGACTTGTGTTGAGTGTTGTATGTGTGTTGTGAATGGTTGTAGGTGGGAGGTCGTATGTGCTTTTTTGAGTGTGTGTGGGGTCCTCGTGAACTGGCGGGTGTGGGGAAGATGGGTGTTGGTGAGTGTGTGGTGTGGTCCTTGGTGATGTGGTATTTTTAGGGTCGTCATGTGGTCCCATTGTTTGCACAGGAGTCGTGCGGGCAGCTGTTGGAGGGAGCCGTGGCGGAACGGTGGAGGTGGCGGTGAGTGGTGACAGCCCCGTGTCGGGTGTCGTGCAGGCACGTGAGGCTCTCCCCTGAACAGTGTGTGTTGTGCGCTCTGGGTTCCTTCCCACCGTGTGTGGTGAAGACTGCGGTGGAAATGCTTGTTGCTTCTTTTTTCCAGGCCAAGTCATTTATTGAAGGTGGACGTTCCTGTTTGGCCATCCATGCCAGGTCTTTGTCCTTTGGAGCTTCCCTGTGCGGTGATCCAGAGTGTCCTTGGGTGGATGTGTTTCTGCTGTGAAGAGGTAAGAAGGTGTTATGGTTCAGAAGGGTGAGAGTCGGTTCAAGGGACATGAGGTGCCGAGAGCAGGAGCGTTTGATTAGGTGGCCATGGATTGTTGTAGAAGCGTTGATTGTCATGGTATGTGTGGAAGGATTTTACGGAACGAGGCACAGAAAGAGTGACCGGTGAGCCCATGAGGAGGTGTTTTGTGTTTTTCTGAGAAAGGCTGAGTCTTGATTCCAATAGCGTGTATGTGTTTGTTGATGTGCATGTGTCCCATGTGGACCCGCCTAAGTATTGCTCTTCCGTTGTGTAGGCGAAAAGGGAGAAGGTAAGTGTCCATGTTGGATGTCCCAGAGCAGGAGGTTTCTATGGTGGTTTGTTTTGAGTCTGTGCCACCGGTTGCCCTTGCGTGTGGTACCAAATGGGATCCTGTGTGTGGAGTGTTGTAGGGCATCGAGAGGCTGGGGTATGGCTGA